GTGGGATTGTGTCCTCTTTGGTCATTGTGGTAGTTAGAATGTAATTTCCCTCCTAGTCTTGTAGGGAGTGGCACTATTAGGAGGTGTGGTTTTGTTGGAGTGGGTATGACCTTGTTGGAGGAAGTGTGTCACTGAGTGTGGGGGTTGGCTTTGAGGTTTCCTATGCTCAGGATGCCACCCAGTTCTTAGTAGACTTCCTGTTGCCTACAAGATGTAGGACTCTCAGCTATTATTTCTCCAGCACCACATCTGGCTGCATGCCACCATGCTCCTCTCCATGATGATAATGGACTGAACCTCTGAAACTGCAACTGAGCCTCCCCAATTAAATGTTTCCATTTATAAGAGTTGCCTTGGTCATGATGTCTCCTCACAGCAATAAAAACCAAAAAATCCATGAAAGTCAGAGATTTGAAGGGACTGGATCAACAGAGACATTTTTACTGTTCTTGTTTGAGAGGTAACACAGGTGGATTCACCCTCATCACCTCAATGTGTTAATATGATTGAGAACATTTTAAACATTAAAGGGAAAGGGAGGGCAAGAAAAATGCTCAAATAAATGATTCTGCCTCTGGAAAAAGATCATCTCAGCAGGTGTGTGAGATTGTTAGAAGATAAAACTGATAAATGATGAGAATAAAATTTACCAAAGATAGGTTTGCACACACAAGTATTTACATAAATTTGCACAATGAGACAAGCATAGCCTTATAGGCTCATATTACTGGATTAAGTGACAGGAGCATAGCAACAGATGGCCATTTATTCCTTTGATGAACTGACCTGGGAATAGTAGAGATGGGTCAGTATCTATGTCACCATGTTTCTTACAGTTCTTCAGCAAATATTCCAGAAAGTAGTTGGAAAGGGGGAAAGAGGGAAACTGTATGGTCATGAATTAAAAATGACTCAGTAGAAAAGGAAAACCTTCAGACAACAGTTTAACTGCAGCATCAACAATGCCAGTTCACAGGTATATTTGTTAGACCCCAGACAGAACGGTAGAGGGAATGAAGATATTGGGGGTTTGTAGTTCCTGCCAGGGCACAAGGAAGGAGAGAGAAATATATTCTGCAGATGGAGGTTTAATACAATAACTTGAGTGCTTGTTCAGTCACTGGAATCCCCAGAAGTAGGGTCCTGTCTGAGCCTCTGGAAGACTTTTCCCAGGCATGGAGAGCTGAATCCCTAGAGAGTGCTCAACTCTGGGAGACCTCATCAAGCTTCCAGAACACACACTAATGTCTTAAGTTAGAGAATCTTGAGCTGGGGGCAGGTTGGAGGTGTTGCTGTCACTGCTCCACAACATCAGGCATAAGGGACTGAACCCTGGAGGTTACTTCTGCCTCCTGCCAGGCTGAAATGTGGAGGATGACACAGGTCTCTACATTAGAGGAAAAAAACCACATGTGTCTTCTTCTGCCACTCAGCTTGCCAACCAAACAGTGGAAGAAGATGGCAACCACCGTGGCTCTGCCTGACAAGACTTTCCTGGGCCTTAACAAGACCTGGTAGAATCCAGAGTGCTAGCTACAAATGTGTCAGGATTGGACATTTAACTTTAGAGTCTCTTTAACAAAGAATGTTATACAAAAGGGTCAAATAATATCCAATGAGCCAACCCACCGTATTCCGCACAACTACAGACAGGCAAGTTTGTTACTCTATTGGATAAAAAAAAGAGATTGGAAGGGGCACCAACTGAACTTGATATTGGTTAGAAGAGACACCCTATGAGCCTTTAAGAAAACATGAGGTGAACATTGTTTCTTAAAAACACAAACCAGCTTATTAATATCCAAAGTCAGAGATCTATATGGTTATAGTGTTTCTAGGTTTTGGTAAGACTTCTCTCTAGGCTTTTATGTCATGAGATGAACTTCAGAATCACAGTCAAGGTGGCATGTAGTAATTTATAATTAATGGAAAGACTAGAAGTTGGTAATTAGTATACTGATACCTAATTATCACATGTGAAATAAAAATCATATTTTATCCTGTGTTGCATAATAAATCCAACAAGGACACTGAGTTTTAAGAATAGCACAAGGTGTCATTTTCTGGGTGCTCACACTAGCCAGGACACTACAGCTACACTCCTTTACTCCTTAAACCAAGCTAGTCAGGCTGTATTACCTCTGATATGAGTGTGAAGAAACTGACACTCACATCAGTGTGCACTGTTTTCTTGCAAGTACACACTGGTGAGCAGCAGGGCTGAGATTCTTAGCAAAAATTGCTTCAAGGGAGAGCTGGCAGAGGCAGGGAGAGTGCAACATGGTGTCAGGAGAAGCTGACCAGGGAATTTGCTTGCCAAGAAATGAGGGGGGGGCAGGGGAGAGGCATGGCATTTCATCAGTTATTCTCTGGGACCTTGGGGCTTGGCCCACCTTCGGCAGGACCAGGTCAGTATCTCAGGGATTTAAACTCCCATTGGATAAGCCTCACTAACTTCTTCTCTGTAAGAAACAGACACTGATCTATTGAAAAAAAAGAGAGATTTAACACCCAAACTGGCCAAATATGGGCAGTATGCTCTCAGGCACCATCAGCAGGAGAGCCCACTGAACTACATTGACTACAGCATTGACTACAAAGAACAGAGTCAGCTGAGGAGAATGACCAGTGTGCTGGCTGGTCCTGGGACATGACTGTCACCATCATGATGTGCCTGTCTGTCTGGATGACTGCACCTCTAGACTGACCTCAGAGGTCACCCGACTTTATAAAAAGTGCTATCATTTGTTACTCTGACTCCTAGCTACTGTATTTATTTTCATATATTTCTTTTAGAGATTTAAAAAGAATACCAACTAACTTACATTTGGCTTAAGATTTTTGTACTTTCTTTGAAGTGAGTGATCAGTTGGAGTAGCTACAATCACCTTGAGAAGTAAATTTAAATCTCACACTTACAAGCTCACCACTTACAAGCTTTGCACTACTTGCAAGATGCCAGCCCATCTGAAACCTTCTTTCACTCTCACTGGTGGGATGAAGTAACAAATACTACAGTGGGGAACAGATACTAACATATGCAACATGATGGTTTAAAAAATACATTTAAATGACTACATTTATTAACTTTGTGTGTGATAGGGCAAGCATGTAGAAGTCAGAGGACAACTTGCTTGAGTTGGTTTTCTCTTTCTACCATGTGGGTCCCAGGTTTCAAACCAGTGTCATCAGGCTTGTCAGAAATTTTCTTCCTTTTTCTGATGAGCCATCTCAACAGCCCAGCCCATACCATACCATCCATACCATATCCTATTTCTTCTTCTTCTTCTTCTTCTTCTTCTTCTTCTTCTTCTTCTTTTCCTCCTCCTCCTCCTCCTCCTCCTCTTCCTCCTCCTCTTTCTCCTCTTCCTCCTCCTCCTCCTTCTCTGTTCTAAAGCAACATAGGTACAAAGTGGGTCCATAGACATCATCATCAGGACCATAGACATCATCATCAGGGAGACCAGGTCAGATAGCTTTGTTAACACTGTGATAGGATTGCTGAGTGGGCATGTACATGTATGAAAGTGTTGATAGCCCTATCCTAGATTTCACGGACACTCCAGTGCAGCATTGCTTTATTTAGTTCAGGACCACATGTTCTGAGAATATTGATAGACTGAAGTATATTCAGAGGAAACATCACAGATGGGGATGGGAAATGAAGCTATGTTCTGACAAATGGCATGAGGACACTGGTGATATTTGTGAGGAAAGAACAGATTTGGGGGGAATTAATGAAAGCTGACTTTCTGAGTATTTACTTGGTCCTTTGAAGGATTTCAGACTCAATGGTTTATCGTAACAAAGGGAAATACTTTATGTGAGATGTCCTTGAAGACAGGTACAACAGGAGTCATTGATAACCATGGAGAGACGACTGTCTTTGTTAGAAACATGGCATGTCTACTCTCAGAGTTGTCCACTAACAAAATGAGCTGGCCTGTGCTTAGTGAGCTCTGATTTTGAAGGAATGTAGGCAGAGAAAAAAACAAGCTTTTGACAGAGATATTTTTGAGAAAAGTAAAGATTAGATGGAAGCATGTATTTGGAGAAATATAAAGCTTCATCTTAATTACCCTGTGAGTCTCTCATTCCCTTACAGTATACTTCATGTTGATAGATAAAGCCCCACACTTCCTTGTCTTTTGGTTTAATAGCTTGAACTATAAATGGTCAATAAAACTATACATTTATTAGATCAGTTTTAGGGATTCTGGTTTGCTTATTCATCCTGCAAACTGAGACAAAACTCAGGAAACCCCAAGGTTTCTGGTACATAACACCAACATTTTATGAGTATATCATGAGATATAGAAGCAAGAAACCCCTCTCACTTTTTCCTTTGGCCTCTAGAAGCACACTTTGACTATGGGAGGGTCAGTCCTGTTATTTTAGATTGCCTTTTAAAGGCATGATAATTTATTGTTGTTGGCTGATTGAAGGCTTCTTGTGTTAGTAGCATTTACTCTTCTCTCGGTACTGAGCAGCAGTTTTCTGTTACAAGATCATCTTCTGATGCTCTATCTTATTTTGCACCTTGTTATAGTTGGTGAATGCACTCTGAAAATTGATCCACCTACGCTTTCATGAATTTACCCTCAGACTTTAAAAAACTGGATCTTGTCACTGTGGGAAGAACAGATATACATTTAATTAACCAAAGAACCTAGAGTCTGTCACAGATAGAGACTTCCTACATATATTGACAGATGAGAAATTCAACCTCCAATAGCTAGAATGACCATGAGTAGTTGGCTTTTGTTTCCAGATCCCAGCCCCTGATGCAGTTTGAAGCTTCGTTCTGGCAATGTCCCACCCTGTCTCTTCCTCTCCTCTACTCTGTCCACCCCCCTTCTCTCCCCATCTTCTAGACACTCATACCTTTCCTTATGATTTTATTGACATGTAAACTAAAAGCATCTAGGTGGGATTCCAGAGCGCTGTCTTGGTTGTCCATGCTATGTATTGAAGTTTGGACTGCTTTTCAATCTTGACAGTGCTGCATATGATGCTGTCCTCGACAGAAATGTGGCCATTAAGAAGCTCAGCCGACCCTTCCAGAACCAAACTCATGCCAAGAGGGCTTACCGGGAGCTGGTCCTCATGAAGTGTGTGAACCATAAAAATGTGAGTTTCCCTGTTATTTTTGAACCTCTGGCTGTGGGAGGTTGTGAGACAAGAGGAAGAAGACAAGGGCTGCTGTAGGAGGAAGGTTTACTTTGCCATTTCTGTCTCTTAAGGTTGTTTATTTGGTCCATATGCTGCATTTGGTTTCATTATCCTCATGGTAGCTTCCTGCTTAAAAAATTATCCAAAAGCCATATGGCATGGAGGAGATGCATGTGACTGATATGTCCCTATTATGAAATTAACCTTATTTGGTTATCATGCTCAAAATTAACCCAGGAGCCTCATGCTTTTTCAACCAAACTGAATCTTCTAAACAAATAAAGCTCACAGAGAAACCTTATAGGACAAGACATTTCTTTATACTTTAATACAAGTATAATAATAAAATTTGGAAGTGTGTTTTTTGTTTTGCTTTGTGTTTTTTTGGTCATCATATTGTTTCTTGTGTGCTTTAGTTAAAGTATGGCAGAAGCTTCAGCTGTTGAGGGTCCCTGCTGTGTGAGCATCTTGCTTTGGGATGGGGAAGTGGCAGGTGCACACGTGTTGAAAGCTCTTCAGAGCAGGGCCACCCACAGCCTTTGCTAAGTGCATCCAGGTGGAGTTGACCATTGCTTCAGCAGCCATGATTCCTCAATCTCAGATGAGGCCCTTCATCCTTGTGCCCTGTCCCTTCTTAGTAAGGAGAAATAAAAGAAAATTATTTAACTTTATGGTGATGAATCTTAACAGATATAACAAGTTTATTAGAAGCATTTCCTTAGGTACAAATATGTAATGAAATTATAAATTTTATGAATAAAATTATAAATAACAGCTATTGAATGTCTGTGCTAACTCCTGAAGTATAAATATACACAGAATATATGAAATTATCACTACATTTTATAAGTGAGATCATATGGCAAATGATCTACCACCAGAGCAGTAAGTAGCAAATGTAAGTGTGGCTGAAAGATCTTTGTGATACAGTGACAGTGACTCTCTTCTACTCCATTGCTCTACTCCCATGTCTCTCTCTCTCTCTCTCTCTCTCTCTCTCTCTCTCTCTCCTGCCTCTCCTGCTTCCTCTCTCTCTATCCCTTCTTCTTGTGTGTCCCTCCAATGACCTTTAAATCAGACTATTTTATACTGCTGAGTTATTTGGGGACAATGACATTTGAATTCACTCTTTTCAATTATTTTTTTTTAATGTGCTGGACAGATTTCTAGACAGCTAGGACTGTCAAGGACTACAAAGGAGGAGAACCAGAACAAGACCCTCCCATAGGAGCTTGGGATTTCCATGTGAGGGAAGGCAATGGATGAAAGAGACAGAAACATTGTGAAAAGATGGTCAGTGTGGGGTGTGATGGGATAAGTGGATCAGGAAGGGCTTCATGACTCATCACTGATACAGCCATGCAAAGAACATGAAATGTCAGAAAGGCATCTAGAGTTTATGGGAAAAGGACTCTTAAGAAGAGTCAGTGTACAAAAGCAATGTGGTCCCTTGCTATGTGACACACTGGCCACATGACCAGGTGGTGGATTCCTACATTAGTAAGGAAGAGGAAACAAAGCCCTGAACAGAGAAAAAAAGGATGTATACAAGCAGTGAAGAAATGGTGCAGAAAGCTTTTTCCCTTGCTATGTGACACACTGGCCACATGACCAGGTGGTGGATTCCTACGTTAGTAAGGAAGAGGAAACAAAGCCCTGAACAGAGAAAAAACGGATGTATACAAGCAGTGAAGAAATGGTGCAGAAAGCTTTCCATACATAAATTGTATCTGTTTAATCCTTCTAGACCCTGTAGAGTAGCGTCTTATGGAGACATTTCCAATTGCTTGACCAACTTGAGAAAAACATACTCCCTAATGTGGTTTGGATATATTTCAACTGTCTTTTCCAAATGCTTATATGTTGGAAAGTTGGTCTCCAGTGCTGTGATGTGAGAGGTGACTAATCCTTTCAGAAGAGGGACTTTCAGGTTGCTTAGGCTATTGGGAGACATGCTTTTAGAAGAGACTAGGTATCTCTCATCTTACCTCAAAGACTTCATGAGAATGACGTGTAAATGTGAGCCCAATCACTGTCCAGCTTCCTGCTTTGAGATGTGATCTTTGTCTCCCTCACAAGCTACCTCAGAGCCAAACTAATGCTGGCACCATGCCCTTGAACTCACTCTACAGTGATTAAACAACTTTGCCAAGAAGTTAGTCTGCCTTCAGCATTGTCTGCTAGTGGCAGAAAACAGTTGCATACTTGCCCTGATGTTGACTGAAGTAAATGGAATTCACAGTAACTCTTCCTTAAGAAAAACAAAGAGTTCCAAATTGCTATAATAATTTATAACAACATCAAATTTGCTATCCTCTTTTTATGTATGTATCTGGGCATATATGCATATAAGCTTGTAGAAATGTTTTTTTAACAAAGAAAAAGCTTCCCTACAGCCAGCTGTGGTTCTTCATTAATACTCAAAACAAAGGGAAAGGCTATTTGAATATGAATATAGAGTCCTGTGACAAGTGAAAAAAAAAGAATGAAGTGGCCCCATTAAACCTTTGATAATAGGAAAATCCATTTATAAGATGAAAACTCAGTTCCAGGAAGTGAAGTGAAGTTTGTTGCATTTGCAGGGTTGTGACAAATGTTGACTCATGGCTGTGCCTCCCAAGACTTTGGAATAAAACAATTGAATCATATTCCTACTGGAAAATGCTTCAAGGAAGCAGAAGCGTCTATGATGACCTCATCCTGAAATTGAGCTGTTTGTAGGGCATTTGCCTAGTGGGTTCACTACTGCAACAGCAACAAATGAGCTTCTAGCCGGGACTTTAGGGGGCTGGAGATTAGACTCAGTGGTTAAGAACATGGAATGTTCTTCCAAAGGAGCTGGGTTGAATACCCAGCACCCTCATGGTCACTCATGACTATCCATAACTCTGCCTCCAAGGAATCTGAGGCCTCTGGCTTCTGAAGGCACCAGACATCCCGCAGTGCACAGACATACACTGAAGCAAAGCACTCATATTCATAAAATGAAGTAAATAAGTATTTTAATGGATTGTTAGGACGAATTGAAATTTATGAGATAAGAACTGAGGTGAAGTACAAAAGAGTATTCAGAAAAGTTATGAAATGAATATATAGGAAAATGGGAAAAAGGAACACAGAAAAAGAAATGGATCACAAGAAAGTGGCTTTGAAAGCACTGTGGAATGCCTGATGATGGGAGTTGGCATTATTGAATTCTAAAATGTTGCATGGGTGCAAGTGTGTGCAACTGTGTTTCATTGTGCATAGTCCAATTTGTCTAAAAAAACCCTGATAAAATATTACATTATGAGATTTGTATGAGATGAGAGAAATAATGAAGACCCAATGACAAATACTCCATATACACATTGTTCCACTTGAGCTGTTATCAAGTGATCAGAATTGTAGGCATCTTGAAAGTTTAATACAAACCCTGGATGCTCTGTGACATTTTTCTCAATAGTTTATGCAAACAACAAGAATGAAAAATCCCACAGAAATGACATTTTTCAGTTATTTAGAATTGTATTGTTTTGAATACTTAACATGTTTAAGTGCCACTTATGAACTTTATGAGAAGCCATTGAATTTGTTTGTGCCCTGAGTTTGTTTAAATATCAAGCTGAGTTTATTTGTAAAGTGGATTTCTAGCTACATCTTCATTTTAAGTAGAATATCTTCATTTGTTTATATTGTCATTTCCATGGACACATTGATACATAGTATTTAAATGGGAAGACATATAGGGTTATCAGACATATAATTTATGTGGAATTGAGATGGATGTAGGTTTTAGGTTGATTTATTTATCACCTCATTCTTTGTTCACAAGATCACTGAAGTAAGAGATCGAATGGATAGGACTGAATCTAGCTAACTCTTCAACTTGCTTTTTGCCCAACTTATCATTGTTACTGTGCACAGTGTACCTCCCCACCACCTGCACTGGGATGCTGGTTGAAGCACTATTTGATTGGCGTACAGAAGTAAAAGAAAGTTTCGATGCCAAACCAAACCATTACTTGCAATATGACTTTTGATTTGGACAGGCAATGGTTCCTTGGAAGTCTGGGTAGAATTTCATTGTCTTTCTCTTGGTGACTTTGCTCTTTGTGGATTAACCACCTCAAAGCTTGTGTATGATCACGGAGCCACAAAGAGGCAATACAATTGACTTTATAATTTTGTTACTAACCCTCATACTAGTTTATGCTCTTTCTGATCACACTTTTCTGTCCTTTGAAGCCATCCAGAAGAATTTCCAACCTTTTCTGTTTCTATCATGGCTTTCTTTATTGAGTGCCTTACATTGGGAATAGATACATTCAGACTTTAAAAATAATTAACTTTCTGCCTTATTTATTTTCTTTGTCTCTTTCATGCCCTGTCTTCCAGATTATTAGCTTATTAAATGTTTTCACACCCCAGAAAACGCTGGAGGAGTTCCAAGATGTGTAAGTAATAAAACAACAAAAGTAATGAAGGTTGAGCCCAGCCCTCACTCAGATAACTCCAGGGGAATGACAAAAATAATAGCAATAGAAACAAAAAGGATGAAATTCCTTGTAAAGATCAAAGGGACCTAAGGGCAGGACCCAGGAAATGAGGCAGGAGTATGTAGTGAAGATTCTGCTATGGTGTGACTTCCTAAAGGACACACCTATCTCCTAGCCCATATGCTTTGCTGTTCCACACTCTCGGTAGATCGGGGGAGAAAGAAGCCTTATTGATTATTTGCTCATTAATTCTGTGAGATTTCTAGGATGGGTCAAATCATTTTGGGAAATATTTAATAACGACATGTTACAATGTTCTTTGTTCTTTTTACCTGTCTTTGCAGTGCCTTTAATTTTGTGCAAATACAGACTGAGGGGGTGGTGATTCCAGAGCATAGCGTCTTCTTCTACATAGCTGCAGCAGACTTTAGAAGTGGCTGTCCCGATGCCTTTCCTCATTTGTAATCCTAATACTTAGGAGAGAGTTAAGAAATATAGGAGAAATTATGATCAATAAAGGCTAGTGAACAGATGGGCATGAACCACATACTAATTAGTGATGCTTTTATCTGCACATGGTCGAGTCACTGAAGCTGTCAATCATGGTATACTTGGAAGTTTCACATATTCTTGGATCAAGCAATCATAGAGATTCAATGTTCAATCAACTTAGATGAAGTAGAGGATCCTGATAGTGATGGAAGGTCATGCTAGACCTCTCTTCTGGAGCTAACATTGTGGATTTGCCTTCTAGTTATTTAGTGATGGAGCTGATGGATGCCAACTTGTGTCAGGTGATCCAGATGGAGCTGGACCATGAGCGGATGTCTTATTTGCTGTACCAGATGTTGTGTGGCATCAAGCATCTCCACTCTGCTGGAATTATCCATAGGGTAAGAACACTTACTCCAGAATTGCAGTGTGCTGGCTGCTGGAGGACAGAAAGAACAGCTTTGAATTATTTTCTTAGGGAGAATTGGACAAATACCGTGCTCTTGGTAATTTCACAGACGGGTAGCATTAACACTTGGTTGATTGTTATGTCAAAGGGACTTCTGTGTGTACTCTGGTAGAATTCAAATTTATATTTTTGCTCACTGAGAGTCATCTTCTGAAGAGCCTCGTATTTCCTAGGCCTTTGACAATCAAAGTTGGATGAGTAACTGAAGTAAGACAGCTCATTTCCATACTTCCTTTCTGGAAATATAATGGCAGCTATCCTGATATGCTCCCCTGTCAGGCCTAGAAATCACACCTACCCTTAAATGTTTATGTTGTCCAACCCCCCCCAAAACAAACAAACAAACAAAAACCATAAGAGATGACAACAAATGACATGTCATTTCCCCCAAGACTTCTCCCCAGTGTGAGCCTAAATTGTAAAAAATAACAGTACTGTTTTCTTCTTAACTTAAAATATTTAATAAGGGCATTTTTAGAAATCTAAAACTAACTAACTTGTCACAATAATCCTATGCTTTACACAGTGTCTTGCAGGCAAGCTGTTGTGCTGCAAGGCTGCCCTGTGTAGTGTTAGAAAGAAATTGCAGTTCCTGTAAATACCCACTTTCACTTTCTTTCTCTGTTCCTATTGTCAGGACTTAAAACCCAGTAACATTGTAGTCAAGTCTGATTGCACACTGAAAATTCTTGACTTTGGACTGGCCAGGACAGCGGGCACAAGCTTCATGATGACTCCGTATGTAGTGACTCGATATTACAGAGCCCCAGAGGTCATCCTGGGAATGGGCTACAAGGAGAACGGTAGGGATGATTCTGCAACAGTGAAGTAGCTAACTGAGAGTCATGTGTGTTGTAATATAGAGCTGCCAGGATTCATATTCAGAGAGTTCTCCTAAATACCACTAGGGGGGATCAGGCGTGAAGAATGTGAAGGGTGTTTCTGAGAAGCAAACTTGGCTACAGGAACTTTAAAATGTAATAGTTAGAAAGAATTGCAAATAGAGTGTGATTACACAGTCAAGAGGCCACTGATTGGCACACAGACCTCAGACAGGGAGAATCACTGCTAACTGTAATGCAGTGTCACCCAGATACTCATGGAAATTATGAGAAAGATGCTTTAGTTAAACAGTTGGCTTTTGTGTGATATCTCAGATTGATGGCTGTGGTCCTAGGGAAAGACTAACAAAGAGATTATAGGATCTTGAATCATATCAAGTTAGCATCATTCAAACTATAAGCTTCTTGTTCTTATGTCAAATCCTCTGCAATTAATATTTAGTGTAGCACTATCTAGTAAATCATAATAAATACCAGAGGCCATATAGAGGAAAAAAACATTAAATTTTACATTATTTCTTTGACAAGAAAATCTAATATACACGAACACATTGAAAGATACAGAAAGAAATGTTTATAATTCAAATTGAATTTTGATTGATTAAAATGAGGTTTTATAAAGACTTTCTTAGAAAGTCTTTTGATCTACGATTTTGTCTGGAACACCTATTATAAAGAGCCATGTTGAAAACCATATCTAATACATTTAGAATTTATATTAGCTTTAAGTTAGATTTGTATATGTGCCATGAGTATCTGATTTTATGTTTTGTATGTTTAATTCCTAACAATATATTTTCATACATTTTATCAAAACAACTACTATTGCATTTTTGAGTATAATTACTGCAGAGTGCATTTATGAGCCATTGGAGTTAAAAATTATTTGCATACTTCCAGTCTAGAGCACTGCTGTTACATTGATGTCTTTGTATGCAACAAAGGGACAGTCAGGACCCAGCAGGCCAGGTTCACTTGGATGGCCACTCCCAGGGCTGTGTAATGTTCTGATTTATGTTAATGGAGCCCTCCTCCCAAGTGAAACCTGAGGAGGATTAAAGAAAAGTCAAGAATTGAGGACAATAGTTACCAATAATTTATTGTATATTTTAAGGGGAAATTTTTGAATGTCCCAACCTAATGCATTGATAAATGTTTGGGGTTTTCGGTATGCTAATTACCCTGATTATATCATTACACATAGTATGCATATAGCAAATATCCACAGGTGTGATTACTGAGATAAGGATGGACAGAGCCTGGAAGTCTGTGTTTGCCTGGTTTGTACTTGTAGATCTTTGTCACACAGACAGGAGTTAGTTAGTCACTATTCCTTTCTTTATTTGAAAGGGCCATAAAACAATGAAAAAGCCTTCGTTTCTGTGCATGGAGGTGTGTGCCTTATCCCTTGTGCCAACTATTCTCTCAGCTGAGGGTGGTTATCATGCAGAAAAAACAGCTTGTCCTTGCTTCAGGCATGCCCCTCCTGTGCACCTCACCCTGCCTTCCACCCCTTAGAGCAACTCTGCCTAATGTTTTTGTTTCAAAATTCCCTTGTCATCAATAAATGTGAAACTGAGAGAGAGAGAGAGAGTTAGGTGGGTAGGAGATATGTTGGTTAACAAATAGGTTAATTGGGAAATAAATGCATGTACTCAAGTTTTAACACCTTTTATGCATTTTTACCTTTAAACATCTCCATTGTGGATGTGCTGATTTGTCATTTTCTCAAAATACTTCAGTTAGAAATTAGTGCTGATGTTTATCTAAGGAATAGTTTCTGAGTAAAAATTCAATCCTGTAACACAGGAATTACGTTTCTCACCACAAAGCTCACCAACCATTTCCCAGTGTCTTGGATTTGTTTGCATGGACTCTTATTTGGGACAAAGGGTGTTCTCTTGTTGCCCACTGCACACAACTGTACAAAATAGGAAGTGAACATAGTTACCCTACATGGTGAGTCTAGCAAATGCTATCAAAGCCATCTCCAAGACTTTTAGTGAACGTCTGCCTGGAGATTCTGTTGGTTTACAGAGTGCTCTCTTCCTGTCCGTGACATAGTCATCTCATGTCAATAAAGATGCAGTTTGGGCATCCATGTAGTATGTTGTTTTACACATGCATTTGCTCTTACTGTAGAGACTGTATGATAACACAATGTAGATTGTAACTCACATTCAGCCAGTTTAGGTGGAATGTGAGAGTATTATTTTCCAATCACGAAAGTCAGTTACCTCAGTTAACCTTGCTTTCCTCCTATGTCTTCACCGCCTCTCTCCTGTTCTAGTGGATATATGGTCTGTGGGATGCATCATGGGAGAAATGGTTCGCCACAAAATCCTCTTTCCCGGAAGGGACTGTATCCTTGTACCTTTGGCTTCACCTGTTTTTATTTTCTCTCCCTTTATACTCGTAATGATTTTACCAGCAGAGTAAAGACAGAAGCAGAAAGTTGGGTAAGTGGAGTAATTGTCACAGTGAAGTGATGATTTCTATACTCTCAGCAGCACTATAGACTGCCTACCACAATGACTCTTTCTAATTAATTTTCCAATAATCTTTTTCTTCTTAAATCATTTTCTTTCTTATAAGCCAAAATAGGAGTGTCATTATTTCAGAAATAGTGGAGACCACCAGACTCAAAATGAGAAACAAACAAAACAACAACAAAACATAATTAGCAAAAGAAATCACTATCTCCTTTCTAAAGCTATTTGTAATCCATGACATTGAAGTGTGATTTCCTGCTTTAACTGACATTGTAAGTTTTAGTCTATGGGTCCATAGACAGGTTTAAATAGGCCACTGCAGCATGCATAGCCCCAGTGAACTTTGAATGTCCACACTTGGCTCATAATTATTATTCAAATTAACAGAGGGCAGGCGACTTCACTAGGACTTCATTCAGTTGAGTTTGAGACACTGAGCTCTAGGATACAAAGAGGTAATTGTCAGCACAGTGTGTGAAGTGCTTGCTGCGCAAGTGTAAGAACCTGAGTACAAATCCCCAGCACATGTGTAAAGGCTAAGTGCAGAAGTGCACACCTATGACAGCAGTGGTGAAGCCAACCTCACTGCCAGCAGGCCTAGCTAATCAGAGAGCTCCAGGTCTAGTGAAAGACCCCGACTCAAACCCTGAGGTGGCATATGACTGAGGGCAACACCTGACAATGACCTCTGACCTCCACCTGCCCTTGTACACTTGCATACACACACATAAAGATTAGGTCATTGCTTTTCCAGCTAAGTCTCTTAGAGGGCTGTGTATGCATGAGAATTACAAAAGCACATATCAGCTGGAGAATATACCTGGTGAATGTAGAATATCTTGCTAATGAATGCTAGTGAAAATTATAATCAACACTAACTGGCAACTTCAACGACAGGACAGTGTTAAATCAGAATAATTATTAGATAATGAGTTTTTGGACTTTGCCAACCAGAAATATGGCAGATAGTTTTATTAGTCATTTTATCTGAGAAATTTCTATTAAGTAATCCTTTTATTATGTAAGAAAGATTATAATTTTATTTCGACATAAAAAAGGTTACAGTTCAAAAACTATGACTCAATCAGAAGCTAATAGCCAACCGGCATTTATGCATTCTGCTCGACAGTGGTACGATACTTTTCAAGTCCCAGCCTTAAGGCAAAGTGCTGATCTCCTCCAGCCCTTCAGTGATAAAGACCCTGGAGCCATATGTTGCTTCTCAGCATTTGAAATTATAGATTGAATTACAAGTGCTGAATGGATACAATGCTTACACTACCTAAAGCTACAGAAAGCGTGTGAAATGAATCTGTCACGACCTCATCTTGACCTCATATTAAGTGACAGTACTTTGAATGGATTGGGTAAAACATATATTGATAAAATTGATCTTACCTGTTCCTTTCTATTCTTTTTTATCATTTGTATTAGCACATTTTAAATTGTATGCACAATTTGCATGTGGGGTTGTTGTCTTCTTTATCGGATAGTGCTGGTCTAGAATTGGAGACAACCCTGTGACATCCTTCTGTCTACAGTCCATTTTACATGATCATCAGGCTCAAATGCCTATGTCCACAGGCACATTCACATGTGACTACTTGAGATTCTTTTCTTTACATCAACTTAGGTATTTGTAGTTTGGGGATGGATTGCATAACCAATGTGGCTGAACAGCATCATGATCCATATTCACTTGTCAGTGCGCTGATCTTACAGCAGGAATTATTCTTTGTGCTTCTGCCTTTGGGGTAAAAGACATTAAAAACAGACAGAGGTACCTCTTCATCACTGCTCAGAGTGGAGCTGCAGTCTCTGTGGGTCACCTGCTGGTGGAGACAGACAGGCCAGGATTTCTCATTAGCGTGGGACATGGCTGTCCTAGGTCACCTTTTCCACAGAGCAAAGCTGTCTCGTGAGCTGTTATTTAGTTCTCCACTTACTTCTCAGAGTTGCTCTTCTGTTTTGACAGTTGAAACTTAACAGATAACACAATAGGAATAAACTGAAACTTTTAAAAGCTAAATTGACCCTTCAGAGATAATCACATCACTGATGATACTCTGTTTTACAAAAAAAAAAAAAAAAAGTTCTTTTGGGCCTTCTGAAATGAAGCTACAAAAGTCAGTATATAAAATCTGCATCTGGATACATGTGATCGTAGAGTTTAGTCTCTAATTCAGAGAGTGTAGACTGTAGAGAGGTCTGTGTGTTGTGTGCCTTTGTCTAGGCTGGTTACTACACAGAACACAGAGCTCTGACAGCCAAGCTGACTGCCCTGTGTGATACAATCCTATGATACTGTCACTTTCTGACTTCTTACTGTCCTTACAGCAGGACCAGGCTGTTAAGGTGACAGAGCAGGCACTGCCGGTGACTGGTTCCCCAGAGAACTATGTAGTCTAGGATTTGCAGGAAGTAATATCGAAGTTTAGTATACATTAATTGAGATCCTGACTAGTTCAAGATCTGCAGGCTCTTCCACTTTGAAATATTAAAATACGTATAAATTAATATTAATAAGAGTATCAAATTATTCTGACTGGAAAATGATACGATAGTCTATATTCAACATTATTCCTCACAGAACTTTTAATTCAGAGTGTAAAACAAAACCATTAAAATGCCTCTGCAAATCAGAAAAATTGGTTATTCTCACCAATGACTGACATCTTTTCCACTTAAATCAATCTTTACATTTTGAGAAACACTGTGGAGTTTTCTGAGTGTTTGATATTATCCTGATGCCATCGCCGGGTACTTTAATACTGAATTAGAATGTTAGCAAAGATGTGCAGTTTTAAACATAAAAACATAGAGTGCCAGGGAAGTGGCTCAGTCGGTAAAGTATTTGCTGTGTAAGTACAAAAAGATGAGTTCAGTTAGGAGAATACACCTAAAAAGACCAGACATTGCAGTACGTTCCTGTAATACTGGCACTGGAGAGGTACACTCAGGCAGATTATGGGGCTCATTGGCCAGCCAGTTCAGCTTACTTGGCAAACTCCAGACTCAAAAAATGGTGGGGATAGGCTAAGGAATGGTGCCTGAGATTGTTTTTTGGCTCCATGTACATGTTCATACACAGGCATATGCACCTGCTCACACATGTACACACAAACATGCACACACATGCACACAGAATGTATACATAAATCATTGTGTTTGCTTTCCATCCATTAATTTGCTATTGATTTTAATATTTAAATATTTCTAACTCGGTCTTCATATTGTGCATTAACCCATTCAACTTTCAAGTCCTGTTGTGAACCCTGCTTCTTTTAGATACATTTTTTTCTACTCTATTTTTTTCTATTTCAAATGGAAGGATCTTCTTTTAACAAGGAACCTACAGTGATCCTTCTTCTATAGTTCTTGAGCAGAGTTTTCTGGACTTGGCTTCTGTCAGACCTTAGTACATGGTATCCATTTCAAAATTCTAGATATCAATTGAATCATTCACAACTAAAACAGACAGTGAGATAGAGTAAACACCCTTCTTGCCTTTCTTCCTTTAAACACAAGAAACATCAGCTGCAAAGAAACCAACAGGTACAAGATCTTCCTAGGGAGGGATGGTATTAAGGGGCACAAAATTGACTTCTTGCACAATAAGATAAGCAAAGAAAATATCTTCATATTAACAGCACATCATATCATTTAAAGTTTGTACATGAGAATTGGGAATGAATAGAAGCTGGAGAACATGACTGTTGTATCCATGTCATGTATGGATAGTCACACTTCTTAACTCGTTGAAACAGTACTTACTTCCCAATAATTTTATAACTAGCACATTATTTTATAACATATGTATTATACTATCCCATCACTATCCATAAGATCATACAAGTTCATCTATAACAGTATCAAATGTTGGCTTTAGATACATTTTTGTAATCATTCATAGCTGTGAACATGTGGTAATGATGATCATATTTTAAAGAACGACATAACTCCTTTGTTTGAAACAATTTAATAAGATTTATTTTCACCACTAGTTTTCTTCCAACTCTTTTATATATTTTTTGTGTGAGATATGAGAGCAACATATCTCTGGGGTTAGGAAAGGAAGGAATTAGACAGATGGACCCAGGGTAAATGTTCCTTTGAGTCTCTGGCACTGAAGTGTTCTATAGTGTGTCTCAGGAACTACTGTGTGGGAGTCTTACATAGGAAACACACACGTGTTCTCACTTTTATAGTTCTACTTTGGTTTTAAAACAATGTGCTTTTTAAAGAAACATGTTCATGATTAATTTTCAAAAATGCAAGATTCCCAGAGAAATCTTGTGATTTTAAAAATGTTAGCTCCTAGCTGGGCAATGGTGGCTCATGCCTTTAATCCCAGAACTTGGGAGGCAGAAGTAGGCAGATCTCTGTGAGCTCTAGACCAGCTTGGTCTACAAGAGCTAGTTCCAGGACTAGCTCCAAAGCTACACAGGGAAACCCTGTCACTAAAAACCAATAAATAAATAAATAAATAAATAAAATAAAATAAAATAAAAAATAAAAAAGTTAGACAGTTTCAGATGTTTCAGTTTACAGTTAATGAAGGAGGGAGGACAAAAGAGAGAGACACGGAGTTAATACATCTCTATACTTTTAAGGGTCTGCCTGCAAAGACTGAACTTGTTTCCACAAAGCTCTTCTTCAAAGTGCTATTCTCAACCTTTGGGTCACGACACCTTTGGGGTTGAATGACCTTCTAACAGGTCACCTAAGACCATCAGAAAATCCAGATATTTACAATGCAGTTTGTAACAGTAGCAAAATTACAGTTGTAAAGTCGCAACAAAAATAATTTTATGGTAGGAGGTCACCACAACATGAGGAACTGTATTAAAGGGTCGAAACATTAGGAAGG